GAGGGCGCGCCAGCATAATCAACCAATGACCACTCCCCACACCGTGGGGTAAGTGATCATTGGGTCCGAGAATCATGTGCCCTGAGCAAACGCAGTGAGCCAAGAATGACAGCCTTCTGCATCTGTGCGGCTAAGATTTCTGCCTTAGTGCGGCAAGCCGGTATGATTTTGAGATTCGAGAGTAGAGAGGACATCATTCCACCAAGGACTCCAATAATCAGAACAACCATCTTGACAGAGTGATCTGGATAGGGTCTGCGGAGTTCGAAGAGAAGATCTCGATATTTTATCCGTTTTTCCTCCTTTTTTTCTGACGATATTTTTATCGCCAGGAGCTGAAAACTCCACGACAAATATCGTTTTGCTCTGGTGGTCAAGAAGGACTACATCAGGCTTATTAGCTTGTATGAGCCTGGGGTGGAACGAATAGTTCCAATAAATTCGGCAGTTCTTGTTTCCCACAAGGAATTCAATATCCCCCGGAGCGTAGGGCAACACCGGTGTCTCGTCATACCGTATTATTATTATTGCCATTCAAAAATATATACTCAATGACAGCTCAATACTTAATTTTGTCCATTTTCATAAAACTTACTGAAACGACTGTTATATAACAACTGCACGTTCAAAATGGCTGAAACTTCAGTGAATTACTGTGAATAGATGAACAACGAAATTCGCTAGATTTTATTTACGAGTGGTGTTATCTTCATATTGAGGTCGGAAACTTTACAGGCTACCCTCGTATACTACCATGTTATAAAAAAAAGAATCAGAATAAGTTCATATTGAGAGTGAAAGTCTTGAAATGTTACCGGGTTTCCGCCTCTGCACTTCGAATCACATTCCACCGTGTGCACCGTGTTTTCCACCGACTTCGCTGTGCATTCAGTTCAACTGAGTGCACCTCTTTCATTCCGAATTAGCGCTTTTTTTGTCTGATACAAGTTGAGGATCGATACACTGACCTGGCTAAATGCTTCTTTATTTTGTAGGCGGCCCGTGTAATGTTCAAAACGTTTTTTTTCTGTGGCTACAGGTCCTTTACTTTCAGAATATACGAGATTATGTTGGTAAGTCAACATATTTTGTTATTCTCATTTGCTAGTTTCTCATTGCTGAGTGGTCCTTCTGTGCTCTTCAATACGAAATTTTGACAGTAATCACATGGATCCGGTCAATACTTTACATTCATTTTCGTGAGACTACGATGGCTGGTGTGCCCAAAAGTGAGATAGGTTGTGAAATTGAACTCATATCCAATCTGAGCATCCCCCCCGTTTGTACTTTGATTTCAGTGTAGTTTCTTGTGGAAGCTTTTGTTGGTTTCTGGCAACAAAACCCTTCTGAACTGACAATCTATACTCCAGATCTATTCTTTCAAATGTACTTCTCGATGTTGCAACAAATTTTCTAGCCTTCGTCTTGCAGATACTAAATGAACGATCAATTAGGGTGACTGGATCAATGAATAGATACTATATTTTGTGGATAAGATTTCTATATGTTTTCTACTTAGTTTTCTGAAACATGTCTGAATTCCCTGATAACACAGGTTACTATGCTATATTGCAATTAAAAAATATGTTCAATACCAATCAACTCATCAATGTATATTATGCTCTAATCTACTGCAATCTACTGTTATATCCTATAACATCAACTTCAAGGGATGCTCCAATAACTGAAACAAAATATTTGTATCCCAAAAAACAATTATTCGACTCATTTTCACTCTAAAACCAGATGAATCGTGTCGACCATATTTTCAAAAATATAAAATTTTAACAGTTCCATGTATTTATGTTTTCAAATGTTTATTGTTATTATGAATAATGTTGACCGTGTTAGGAATTACACGTTAAAAGGTAAGACCTTGTTAGTCCTTAGCTCGAACAAGTTTCTCAACTTCAGAGAGTTGTGGTTCGTATGGGGGCAACAGCTGATTAACGGAAAAACAGATTTCAAACAGATTTTATGAAACATGTTGAGATGTATCAAACAGTTTCTCATTGCCATGGTTACCTGCACCTTGTGTCAGGACCCATCACGCGACTGCGGTAGACTGAGGTGTTGAAGACATCATCCTGGCAAGCCATGATGAACCCTTCAGTTTCCGACTTCAGCCCACTCGACCTGAGAAAAGCGAAAGTCAGGCGCTTTCATAAGCCAAGGTCTCCAATGTTATTGAAGAAGACCCCATGAATTAGCTTATATCCTTGTGTCTCCACAGAAGTAAGGTGATCTCTGCGGCTTTTATATGAGCTTTTTGCTGAACGGGTTCCAACTCGGTGACAGAGTTGTGGTCACCTCGTTCATTGTCGAAAACTATACTGAGTTCATAAGCTGTTTGGGCAGCTGCCCTAAAGAGAAATGCTCCAATTCCTGCTTTCTCATGGTCACGGATCATGCAGAGAGAGGGATCCGAACTCTTGACAACTTTACAGGCTGTATCCAGTACCATTCTGTCATGTAGACACTCCAAACTCATAGTTCACGGCCCCCTGTTGTCAAGGGAAGTACAACCGTGGAACGGACGATTTGGGATGCAAACTCCTATAGAGNGACTTGTATGAGCCTGGGGTGGAACGAATAGTTCCAATAAATTCGGCAGTTCTTGTTTCCCACAAGGAATTCAATATCCCCCGGAGCGTAGGGCAACACCGGTGTCTCGTCATACCGTATTATTATTATTGCCATTCAAAAATATATACTCAATGACAGCTCAATACTTAATTTTGTCCATTTTCATAAAACTTACTGAAACGACTGTTATATAACAACTGCACGTTCAAAATGGCTGAAACTTCAGTGAATTACTGTGAATAGATGAACAACGAAATTCGCTAGATTTTATTTACGAGTGGTGTTATCTTCATATTGAGGTCGGAAACTTTACAGGCTACCCTCGTATACTACCATGTTATAAAAAAAAGAATCAGAATAAGTTCATATTGAAAGTGAAAGTCTTGAAATGTTACCGGGTTTCCGCCTCTGCACTTCGAATCACATTCCACCGTGTGCACCGTGTTTTCCACCGACTTCGCTGTGCATTGGGAAACTCCACAAACGTTATATTTGCATAATGTACTCGGTAACGGCGAAATGTAACAAGTTGGGAAACCTGGAAAAACGAGTTGAAAATTAATGTACACATTGTTGACGAATCTGAATAATGAGTCGTTACAGTTCATTCTGTTTAAGGAAGAAGGAAAAAATAAGTTCGGTATGATAAGTACCTCAAAAAGGCAGGACTAATTAATGCCACGCGAATCAAAAATTGCCGATCATTCAGTTTGTTCAGATGTGGCTAACGAAGTTTCTTGTTATACTTCAGAAGTTGGGAATAATAGTATCTTTTTGCGATTTTTTTCTAAGTTAGTAAAATGTAAAAGTAATATAGAAATATGAGTAGGAATGAACAATAAATGTCGTAAGATGTCACCTGGAATGAAAATGAATGAATATAAGTTACGAATATGATAATGATCAACAACTGAAATGTCTAAATTGAATAAGAAAATTAAAACACAACAACAGAGGAAAGGGAAAAGAGAAACAATATTTCAAAGCGAGCTATTTTACAATTCTCCAATTGTTGGTATCTTCAAGGGCATTTGGATGATGACTAGCACAATCCTGTTCCTCCAAAACAATTTCCAGTTCAACTGAGTGCACCTCTTTCATTCCGAATTAGCGCTTTTTTTGTCTGATACAAGTTGAGGATCGATACACTGACCTGGCTAAATGCTATGGCATTTTGTTTCGAGATTCGTTTTTCATTCTTTAAAATATGATAAATTATAGCATTTTTTCTCACTCACCACTCTATACTATTTTTGTCAAGGTGAAGTTTGTGTTTGACCATGCTGATATAATTTATGACCTTTCTCCAATACAGTAGGGTAAATTATGCTCATATGAAGTCACAAAATCAATATATTCTTGAATTGGTATTTTTTCATTTATATTCAAACTCCAGTTACCTTTATTCAAACCTCATCAAGAGACCGATCTGATATTACAGTCTTAGTTTTGCTCGATAAAAGTAAAGCTTTTGGCTTCGTAACTATTGATCAGTAAACTGAGCTGAACTCATTATGTTGCTGGTTTCAGGAAATCATGGATTGCGAAATAACCCTACTGAGACTATTGCAGATACGACCCTCAAATCTATGACGTGGAAAATCGTGCATTCTTTATGGACGACTCTGAAGTAGCAGGGGTAAGTATCGCTAAAAAATTGGGTGTAACTATGGACAATACATTGATTTCCGATGAACACATGACAAATGTAATCATCAAAATGAAAAATTTCAATAAGTTCAAATTTCGACTTCCCACAGTTATGAAAATAAAGTTAGTTGAAACTCTAATTTATCCTTCCAATAATTACTGCTGTTCGGTTCACTTGAATTTGATAAAATGAGATCACAATGTTTACAAATTTAATTATGTTATGTTGCTAAAGAGGTAGTATGATATTCTTTCAGTCATCCGTCATCTGCACATCAAGATTGAATGTTGACCTTCAATTAGGTGAAGGATTTTTTTCTCCTATATATTATATGAACCAATATGCTACTATATGGTACTTTCATCCCTCACACGCAAGCTTTTCATTTCATTACCCATTCTGTTCGCGATATCTGCAGGATTGAAAAAAAACATTCTCTTCCTCACTTTTTTTTGATATGTTGCTTCATGCATTTGGCATTGAAGTGTTCGACATCATTTCATACATGAGTATGAATATCCTTTGTGATTCGAACTTTCCAAATATATTCAAATCTAATGTGAATCACTACTTCCGCACAGTCCCCGCTCTAAGAGCGCCTTAAGGATTTTTCTGTAGTGCTTGTATTTTGCCCTTAAAAAAATTCTGTATGATGTCACTGAGTCGACATAATAAACTGACTCAATATGTGTACCAGTCGTAATGCGGTGGATCACCATCAATTTTTCCATTTCTTTTTTTATATAGTTTTCTTTAAGATACCCATGCTGTTTTTAGAGCATTTTCTTTCGACGGTGTACTTTCAAGAGACAAGTAGCAGGCACCGATTCGCGTTGTGGGAAATGCATATATGAAATTTTCGAAAATTTGGCCACTTATGTTTTCTGTAACTTTTATTGGTGTATTTGTCCTGCTGCTTGTTGGTGAAAATATTTACACCAAGAGTGTAAGAGGTATGTATTTTTCCATCCTCTCCATTTTCCGCTGTATTTTCTTGGCTGGGAGACTGAGAATCGAATTTTTCATTTGGAAACCAACCATAACAAATCTGACTCCAACATGTTCTACTATGGGGTAACTGAACCCAGCACTGTAAGTGATCCCAAAGAGTCGTTTCTTGATCCTCTGATAGATTTACGATCGTTTTATCTGATGTAGTCTTCGTTCCGAAGGAAATATTTCACCTACAGTGACTAATGCTGCCGTTTTCTGTGTTATTATATAAAATAAATGAATTAAGGAATGCCACAAAGATAACTTCTCCAAAAAAGTTTATCAAAAAATTGCGGTACCAAAAAAGACACAATGCCTTCAGGTCAGTCCTGTTGTACTATGAATGTTATAGTTGTCCAATTTTGTAATGAAAAAGAGCATTTGTGAGTTCCCGGTGATTAAAAGACGTTTTTTCTATCATGGAGAAATATTTTTCCGCTATTTTTAATTTCTGATGCCTTTCCTCCAAAACAATTTTCAGTTCAACTGAGTGCACCTCTTTCATTCCGAATTAGCGCTTTTTTTGTCTGATACAAGTTGAGGATCGATACACTGACCTGGCTAAATGCGGGCTAAAAGATTTCTACATTTGAGTTGTTATATACTGACTCACCTCGAACCTTATACATTTCATCTCCAAAAATGGTTTGTTCACATGAACAATCTTTGTTGCCTATCATAATCCTAACATCACAAAATCTCCTATGAACTCTTCCTTGATACCTATCCGTTCCCAATTTGAATTTACATTTATGTTTCTTTTTTTTCGAAAGTTGTTCGGAGCAAAACGTCCATTTCTCTAAAATGTTCTGTTGACATATTCCTAGGAAATAGTTCTTTGATCTTTTATTGGTGCTATCAGAATTCGCAACGTCTTCAAGAAATATCTGAAACCATGAGAAAATTAAATGATTCCTCATATTTTGCCAACGTTTTTTGTAGGTGATCAAAGGCTGACGAACTGAAAAAAACTCACTGCAAAATATTTGAGACCGATGGCTACTAAAGCACACGTTTCCAATTGAAGATCTCTCACCCAGTCATCAATATTATAAGGGGTTTCGTTTACATAATTTGTAATTTCATTAGCTGGGTCGAGATTCTTCATTTCATAGGCACATGACAAATATAGTGACACTGTCAAAAATTTGAGTAACATTAAAGTGACAGAGATTAAATGGGAACATATACAGGCTAGAAGAAAAAGTAGTACCATAGACATATAAAATTCAATGAAGAATTTAAATATTTTTTTTTATTATTCAATGGCTATTCAGGCTATACTTGAAGACTGGCAGTAAACAAATCTAAAGAAATGAACGTTCAAGCCACTCTCGAATATAGCTACACAGTAGGTTGAATGGACTGACGCCTATCAGAAAAGAACTACTTCCCTGGCTAATACCACGAAGGGTGTTGCATTATATTCGACAGGCATCAGTGCAGGAATCTTCACAGAAAATTTCCTGCATATGCAATTGGCAATACAACTGAAAGAGTCGACCTTCAATTTTGGAACGGGCTGTTGCATTATATCCGACAGGCGTCAGTGCAGGAATCTTCACAGAAAATTTCCTGCATATGCAATTGGCAATACAACTGAAAGAGTCGACCTTCAATTTTGGAACGGGCACACTAGTAGACCGGTTTCGGGCTCATTAGTCACTCGTCAGTGCAAGATAGTGGCTGTCATCGACCTAAAGTCATAATTGAAAATCGGAATTCTTTCAGAGTATTTCATTCCTCTTCCTAAGTTACAGCGAACAACAAAATATCACTCCATCTAGTGGACGAGGTACTAACCAACTGCATATCCGAAATGTGTCCGATTCCTCTGAATAAGATAGTTTTTCTTCCTGTGCTGAGAGATCATCTACAAATACTACCAAAAGTAACGGTCCCAGTTCTAATCCCTGAGGGACTTTTATTGTCACATAATGTTCCTTGGACACGATATTGTTACATTCGATTGTCAAATGCCGACCACTCATATATGATTTTATCCAAGTCAGTATGTTATGTGGAAACCAAAGCCTCTCTAACTTTATATATAGAAAATCTGGTGAAACAGTGTCAAATGCCATTGAGAGATCAAAAAAAACTAGCTACAAAATAATTGGCATCAACTTCGGAGTGTATGTTATTGAGATTATCATAGGCAGCGGTTTCTTTGGAACTTTCTTTCCTAAATCCATGTTGATTATTACTATGTTGATTATTACTATTATCACTATTTCGATAGCCACCACTTCTTCATACAATTTCGAAACATAACAAAGTAATGAAATTTGTCGGTAGTTATGAAATTTGTCGGTAGTTATTTGGGTCATTTCCATTTCCTTTTTCAAAAAGAGAAATGACTAAGGCTTTATTGTGCCAAACTTATTATAATGAAGGGTGTTATTCCATATGCATAATATTCGTTGAGTGTTTTATTGTACTTAATATTATGAATACTTCTTGATTCTTATCAAATCGTTCATATTTGATCATGCATCAATTAATATTATAGAAGTATCCCTTTTTTCACTTTGACGATAATTGACAGTACCTACTTATAATGACGTTTCCATCATATAGTTTTTTGGAGCTATAAGACTCAATTTCCAGCGTTGTAATAATATAATCTGCATCATATTTACGTTTGAAAAGTACACATGACATATATCACATCTCATTCACTTACGTCATCACCATAGTTATATCATAAACAACCTTGCAATGCCAACAACCATTCTCATTATCTGAAAAATACACTTCATTGCATCTTGAAGCTGATAGCTAGGTCCCATTTGGAAGCTAAACGAGTTAGACCACAGACCTTTGCAACAAATATATACGAAAAATTCCTGCCTTTCTGGGGCAGGCAAATTAAAACTTAGCGAAGTTTTCCACAGATGAGAATGATGAATATGACAGAATATAAAATATACGACCTAAAACACGACCTTTATAGCGATGAATTAGAAAAGTTTTTGCCATTAAGATAATGGAAAATTATGTACTCAACCAAAGATTAGGCATATTACAACGAGTACACAGGTATAACTTCATATATGTAGTTGGAACTTGATATTGTTATTTTTTGTGTGGTTGTAGTAATAAAGACGATTATTATTACTATTATATGATAGAATATAAAATTTATGACTCAGTGAGTATTGCTAATGATTTTTTGTAATTTCTTAAATCGTTAATTTTGGTTCTCAATATAGACGTTATCGAAGTTCCGTGGTGGCTGTGGTAGTGGACGGACGTGCAGATAACGACCTCCCACAAAGAAGGTACGCAAATGCCATGTGCTGTCGTAAGGCTCCGTTTTTGTGTTGTCCCAGTCCATTATGTTAATTACGGAAATGTGTGAGTGTCTTTAAGAAGAAGTGATGAATAAAGGCCCCCCTTCATTTACGCCGGTATTCAGGCCCGGGTAGTTCGTTAAGGGGACTGTATATGTGAAAAAAAAACAAAAAGTCTCCCAAGCAGGAGTTGACTCCATAAAAACCAAATTGTTTTTATTATTGGAAGAATTGAAGTTGGAAAAAAAATGGTTGGCAGTATTGCTTCGTGCAAGACCGTTGTGCCTCCCGACGAATCTCCTGTAAACCAACGGGAGGAGCATTAATCAAATGCGCCTGAAGATAGGAAGCAATGACCATCCAAAATAAAGAGACTGAGAAACGTTAAAGATAGTGAAATTCAAAACTTCAGCTATTTGTTGTACAACTTCAGCATAATATATAAATGAAACTGGGTCACAAAACGAAGCGTTCATGTTCCAACACTTTATGTAACTCCAACAGATGTAGCCAACTTTTTCTTCTTTCACTTCGAAATTCCAATTCGAAAGAACTTTAATTCTTGAAATAAAAGTTAAACCACTTACCTATCGGATGCTGAGATTGATTCGGTAGGACGTTGATACATTTTCACAGATAAGTAGAGGGCATAAAAAAGGAAGTTGCAAAATCACATTCAGCTGTTCAAAACATTGGGCGCTATGCCGGGATCAAGAAGCGAGTAGGTAATATTCTATTCCTGATATCCTCGCTAATTGGTGGAACAAACGAAAGTCTGAAAATGGTAAAAATTAATTTTCTTGCAAAATATGCCATGTTAAGATACAAGTAGAATATATACTCGAAAACAAACTTGGAAAATTACATATTACAAGCTAGTATTTGATTTTTTTGATGCTGTTGGTTACTTTGAATGGTTGGCCTGGCTCCTTTAACGTCGATAAAGATCGAACTGCTAGCTTTTATGATTGGTAAACCTAGTGACTAAATGACGAGCCAAATGGGATAAAGACACCTATGGAAGTTGGACAGAGATGACACGTGGAGTAGTGGAATAATTTTTCTCACAAGCGAAATAACTTATCGAACACTAAAAGTCCTGTTATAAAACTCAATTTATCTAGTACAATAGAAATAATTAGACAAAAGTACGTCTTTACAGTAAACAAATTTGATTATGAATGCCGGCCTGTTCACTGAAATCTTCGCAAGTGGGCTTATCTCCCGGTGTACGCTTTCGTAGACTCAGCATTCTTTCTATGGGAACCGTGTTGGACGTTGATGTAATTCACGGGTGTTTCAGAAAGTATCTACAGTGTTACATAAAAAGTTCAAGATATACGGAAGTTTTTTTATTAATAGATATTATGAAAATTTGACTTCACAGTTAGTTCACGCTTGAAAAATAAGTAAAATACAGTCTCTTTCTCTCTGTCATTTGCTACTCCAAACCTGTCAAATTTGACATTTCTTTCGAAAATTATCAGAAAGTTAGTTTTCTTTTTAACTTCCAAGAATGGAAAAAAGTTGCTTGATTTCCAATATTATATCCTTATTCGAAATTTGATCCCTGTGTCTTCACTAATACTGCAGATATTGGTTTTTCCGTTTTCAACAACGCCCAACAACATTGGGTTGTTTTTCTTCATTATACTTTTTTGGATTATGTGGTTTCTTGGCCATAGAGCCAAATTCTTTGAATGTTCCTGAATGCCGATGATCGAAAATTCATCTCGATATGACACATTCTCATCACATAAAAGAAAGATGTCCACTCTGCTTCTGTGGACAACATTGAACATGAAACTTATTTGTGGATTATAGATGTATGACAATCTGTACACAAAAAAACTTGATTCATTAAACGCAATAATTTGACATTAACCAAAACTAAAATTTTTTTCAGAAGCCTACTGAGGAAAATTTCATTTTGATTTGACATGTTGCATGTTGCTTGACATGTTGTATGTTGCATTAGTCTTGTAATGTTTAAAATCACGAAATTTTATATACCTATGTTTAGTACAAATCGTAAGATCGAAATTCTTTTGAATAGTTATGAAACTGTAGGTCAATGTTCAGATCACAGAAAAGTATGATATTCCGGGTTAGTTTGTGATTGAATTATTGATCAGAAAAATAATCAAACTGGATATTACGAGTGTAATGGGAATGATGAGAAATACGTTTATTTGATTACTGACATATTAACGTCCCTATATTGAAAATCCGGGTATTTTCAGGGCAATATATGACATTGATGTCTCGTATTCAATCAAAATTATGAAATTTGAAACGATCGATAGAGCGGAAGATTACAGTAGAGAGTTACACTAGAAACTTAGCAAATTGTTTTCTTGGAATGTCTCTAAATTTACAAAAACTTACGAAAAGGATTTTCGAAAAAATGTCACCTTGACAGGTTTGGCGAAGCGTAAACGTTTGAGGATGCTATTGTATTCCGAAACACGTGTCGCAGTTTTTATTATAGTGTTTGTTACGTTGTTTATAGTAAAAATCACACAATAAAATGTATTCATTAGTTTTAATATGGATTTTAATCAAGTATCGGCCAGTTCTATTCAATTATTGAAACATACAGTGCATTTCTTTGATGTACCCTCTATTTCCATTCTTTGAACTGGTCAACTAAAAATATTGAAATTTGGGATAATGGAATTAATGCAAGAATACTTTATTTCGAAGTGAAATTGATAAATGAAATTTTCAAGATAGCGACTGGGCGCTATCTGGGAAAGAAAATTAAATAGAAAGAGGGGTCTTGAGACATATTCTTTTGAAGCTCCTGACAAATACTTCACAACTCTAGAATATGAAGTCAAT